GCCTTATCGCCACTTTAAAATCCCACTTGAATTGTGAGACTTGAGGGATCTTCCCTCCGATTCCCGCTTTTGCCCTCGCCCCTTCTCGTTCTCCGAATGTCATTGGGTGGAGAGTGCTGGGCAGCCGTCTCTTCTTTCCCTCGTTGATAATGAGTAGGAGTTCCTTACCTTGTTTGGCTGTTTCCTCTAAAGGGTTAACTCACTTTCTCCTCTATCCGACATTTCTTCGTCGGAAGTCTTTTTCTTAAGTTTGTCCTCTAGCGCTTGAGAAGTTGAGACTGGTAGCCCATTCGCTTCGTGCTCTTGGGCCTTTGGTTCTCGCTATTGTTGTGTTTGTTTTTTTGTTTTTTTTTTTTTTTTTTTTTTTTGGGACAGCGCTCCAATTTATTCTTGGGGCGCCGCACATGCTGGGAACCGGGCCCAGTGTCCCATTTGGAACATGAAACATATTTGAGAGCACATACAGAAAATGTTTTTTGAGATACCGGGACTTCAACCCGGCTTTGTCTGAAGAATAAGATCATGAGCAATTACTAGCCTATTCGCTGAAGAAACCCTGAAGATAGGCTAAAATGAAGAAAAAGTCTGAAAAAAACTGAAAAAATATGAGAAGTTTCCTTCTAAGTTCCACAAAGGGATTAAAAGAACCCCTCTTTTTTTAAGCTAACCGGGGCCATTACCTGGCTTTGGCTAAGAAAATCCTGGAGTTTCTAGAAGCAAAAACGCCATCACCAAGGTCCTATAAATGCTGAAAACCCTCGTACCGGCCAGCGTCGTTCTGGCATCGGACAGCCGCAGATCACTGAGTATAACAGCAATGAAGCCTCCTAAAATGAGTTGCTAGGGGTCCCCAGAATCACAATACATTCGTAAGACAACGTTTTTCTAAGATTTGATCACGGAAATATTCGGACCGAAAACCACCTACCTTTAGCGGCTATCAGCAGCTCAACCCTATCCGCCTCTCTCCTATACCCCGATACTCAATCTCTACCAGGCCTCCCACCCCCAACTGCTAGGTTACAGAGTGGCACGACCCACCCCAGAAATCCCCCCACCTGCTAGGTTACAGGGCAAAGCGACCCACCCCGGCTCCGGCCAGCGTCGACTAAGTATCAGTTCGCCAATAGACACGAGAGTGCCTTCCACCCTCGACAACTCCCCAGATCTCTCTACCAGGTCTCATGTTCCTGTACCGCTCGGGTTACAGGGCGGCGCGACCAAGCCCCAACACCGACCAGCGTCATTCTCACCTCATCCATTTGCAAATCACTGGGACCAAAGACATCAACAGATACCAGACAAGCCACCAATCGTCGCCATGGTTGTAGTTCCGAGCATCCACTCTTTCAAGCACTGGCTGCAAACATCCAACAAAAACCTTCTCAACCTTACTACGGCAAGACTTACTGTGGTAGAGCGACCATCTCCACCGCTGCTGTAGCCTATTTCCGCCCACAGAGCGCATTATCTCCAACCATCACCGCAAACACAATCCACTGCAACCAACACCAAAATTATGATGGTTTTTCTAGTTGAAACCTCAAAAATAAAAAAGAATTCAAAGAATACAGATACACACGCAGGAATAGTAACCTAAAAAGGCAGTCGACACCTATTATTCCCACAGGGAGAGAGAGGACGGAAGGAACTACTTCTTTCCCCATGGAAATTTTTGTGCCTATTCACGTCGCAGGTGGATGTAAAAGAACTCACAAGAAACCGAGCGGCTTACTCCTCCCCCCCAACAAAACAAGCTCATGTCCTTTCGCTGCCTCCGCTGGAAGGCGCCCCCTTACCTTCCAGCCCTAATTCAAAACAGCCCCCTAATTCACGCATGCTCCCTCAGCAGCATGCAATACCCCCTAGAGCATGCCCCCGCAGAGCTGAAGATCCCCCTTCCCTCGTGTCCCACCCTCTCCAAGTGAAACACCTCTCGACCTCTCATCTTGCTGAAAACAGCACGGCCCCTTGTCCTCCTTCCCAACTGTCGTGGCTGATCCGACCCAGAATAGTCTGGCCCAAAGGAGAACAAAACCCACAATACCACCCCTACCCTCTCAAGGATCACAACTCCCACCTTGTAAAACCCTCGCTGGGAGGGGCTCCCACCCTGAAGGAGATAATTCAATCAGCACCTATGAGCCCAAATCCTACAATATCACAACTTGAGACTCGATTGCAACCAGTTTTTTGGAACTCCTTTAAACAAGTGACATCAAATATCGAATTCAAAAAATAAGATCTCAGACTTATGCACACAGATATGGAGAACTAGGTCAGATTTAGAACTAGATCAAAGATGGATAAACGTAGGACATCAATTCCACTTTGAGAAAATCAATTTGTAACCCTTTGTAAATTAAAATTGAGTAATCATTCATTGGGATCAGAGCAAAACTCTGATTTACGAATTTCAGATTAGGAATCTTGCTCAGAAAATACGAATTGTAGATTAAGAATCCTGCTAAGAAAATACGAATTTCAGATTAGGGATCTTGCTCAGAACATAAAAAACGAATTTCAGATTAGGGATCAATTACAATCAGAAAACACCTAAGACCTCATGAATCATATTTTAAACAAAGCACAATCATAAAAACGGAATCATTCAAAAACAACCGCGCCAACATCAGAATGCATCATCGTCAGAAAAATCCAGATCATGTTTTACGACAGAAAAATAAGCACTCAGTAGGGATTTTGTAAGCTTGTAATCAAAAGGAAATCAACACCTCAACCATCATCAGTCTCGTCACTGAGGAAAACCAGCAGACAATCTACATAATTCCTTACCAACCCTAATTCCCACCCCCCGCACATGGCATGTCCTCTTGCTCTCCCAACCTCTGCCTCCTCCTTCATCGGTTTCAAAAGCATCTCAGCTGCTCGTGGCCTGCATCACATGTACCAAAAAGCTGAACGACGAAGATTGTCGGACCGTGGCCAACACTTACCACAACACAGCCACGTAGCGAGCCCAAACCGCCGAGCCTGTCGACGACCCCTTGCTGGCAGTTCGGAGAGAGAAAGAACATCCATGGTGGCAGAAACCGACTCGATCCGCCATCTCTCGTAGCCCGCCGTTCGAATCTTCACCAAGAGCAGACCTAAGGACAATACTCCCAGGGAAACGAAAGCAGCACCAAACCCACTCCTCCCTAACTCACTTTCTCCTCTATCCGACAGTTCTTCGTTGGAACTCTTTTTCTTGAGTTTGTCCTCTATCGCTTGAGAAGTTGAGACTGGTAGTCCATTCGCTCCGTGCTCTTGGGCCTTTGGTTCTTGCTATTGTCTTGCGCTTGAGGGTTGCGAAGTTTTCCTTTCGTGGCGAAATTCCCTCCTTTCTAAAACTCTTGAATCTCCTCCCCCGCCTGTCTCTCTTCACTTTATCCTCCCTTTCCCCTTTTCCTCTCTCTCTTTTATCTCCTTTTTAACTCTCTTCCCTTACTTATTTTGGCACCCTCGTTCTCTCTTTAGTCTCCTTTTGAGCCCCCTGTCCTTGCCAACTTTACCCCCCATTTGCTTCCCCTGCTTCCTGGGTTTTCGCCGTTGCCTTACGTCCTGAGTTTCGCCCTCTCCCTACGAGTGCGAATTTCTCCCCCGAATCCCACTTCTTGATTCACTCACGTGGCTTGTGATGATGTTCCCTTTGTCGAGACTTCCTCTGGAAGTTCGCGCCAGCCAGCCGGGCCCCCGTTGGGGAGACAGCACGGGCGAAGTCCGAGGGCGCCCCCTCAAATTTTCGAAGGGGAAGTACACCGGGTCATGGTTGACCCTTGCAGTAGTGCTTGGTTGAAGTCTGGCCGGTGCCGTGAGTTGTCCCTCACGTGCATTCGGGTCGAGTCGAGTCTGGGTACACCGGGTCATGGTTGATCCATGCTGGGGTGGGGTGAAATGTCCCTCATGGGGCTTCACTTTCATCCCAGCTCACTTTACCTATTGGTTAATTGATCCACCTCTTTGGTGGTTGGTCATAGGTTCAATTCCTAGTGAGTTGATCTTGGACTTCTTGTGTATAACAAGTACAACGCGAGGCGATAAGACACGCCATGCCCACGGACGTGGAAGACAACGCCATTGCCATCATCACCAAACGACAAAGGACAGCATCGGGTTAGGCAGAAATAGTGAAACTTGTAGAGGAGAAAGGCAGTAAGGGAAGAGAGTGGTAAGGAGGTGAAAATACACAAGCAAGACAAGCGAGGGAAATCGAGTCGAGGAGGAAAAATCTGGTTTTCTATTTGGCGGAAAGAACAAGAACGAGAAGTCTGCCAACGGAAATGCGTGCGGGGAAGGACAAACAGCTACAGTTCTCATCGACCGGAGGCGCTAGCGCAAAAACTCATTTTTATTTTTTGTTCATTTCCAGTTCAATTTTTTTGATAAGGAACTTCAGTGTGTTATTGTCAATCATGCTGGAGCTCGTGTGGGTTGATTGCGAGCAATTTGTACTCTGTAGCTCTGCTGGAAGGATGCTGCATTGCAGCTTATGCCTTGACCGTGCATATTCCATTTGTTGCTCTTTCAAAATCTTTCCTGTCTCTTGGTGTAGCCCGTCAGCCACTGGAAGTAAGTTTCGTGTGCTTGAGAAATACGACTGTTAGGCAGGGTTATGGGGTTCGCCTTGGATCAAGGGTGAACAGGAGTGTGAGCACAGGGTTGCTCATGTGTATGACCACCTTTAGGGGGCAGAGAACCGAGGCGATACAGATAGACAGGTGAGCAGGGATGGTAGTGCTCATAGGAGAGCTGGTGACGATGTACTGGTGAGTTTACTAGTTTGTGAGTCCTTTTTGGTGAGTCCTTTTTGTTAATAATTAGATTATATTTGTTTATTTATTGTTTCGCTTCTCTTTGGCTTTGTATTGTTTAGATTATTCTGTGTATGCTTTCTTATATCACATCTCTTTGTTATTCATGGTGCTTCATGTTGTATGTGTTTGTTGAACTTTTTTTCTCTCTTTGCTTTTTATTGCTCGTAACATCTGATGATGAAGGTAGAAGAGAGAACACGGGTGCAAGAAACGGCCAGAGTTCTGCACGGCGAGATCCAGAATCTTCATGGCAGTTATGCAAGGTACTACTGTCCACCCTAAGATTGTGTCCACTCCGAGCGTGCTATTAGCAAAGCACAACTCGAGGCGGCATTTTTCTCTGTACCGACCAACTCCACGAGGCTCTTTAACTGGAGGATGCTTTTGTAAGGTGTTGAACTTTGAAGTGATCAAAAAATAAATGTTTACATAGAAACTGTTTAGTCACAAAATTAAGAAAGAACTTCCAACAATAAAAAGCATCCCCATGATTATGGATGACAAGTTGCTTCACAGAGAGATACCTTGCACAAATCCCAGGGAGATCATTGAAGAGAGATTAGAACACAGTTTGGCAAACTCAATCAAGAGGAGACAACCAGAAATGGAGGAGAGCTAAAACCTATGCTGTCAAGGACTGGCTATGGACAACATCACATTATATATCAGATTAGCATACTTGGAATAGCAGTTTGGGTCAACCTGCTGCTAAGAAGAGGTATGCTGTTAGGAGCAGGGAGGCATACCAGGTGCAAACAAGCACATCAGAAGGATGAAATCAATACCGGTCATTATGAAAGGCATCCCACGATGCGGAACCCAAATTCGAATTTCAGGGTCAAGGTCTCAGGCCAAGGGAGGCCAAGTCGGCCAGTTCAGAAAGGTCACAGTCGGGTACCTGAGTCCAACAGGCACCCGGTGAACAGTCACATCCCAGAGGCAAAGGTTGCGTTCTACAAGCAAAAGTCACGTCTGATATTGAAAAGTAATATCCCACAGGCAAAGGACACTCCTCCACGCAAAAGTCGTGTCCCAGAGGCAAGTGCAATAACCCATGCCGTATGTCTCGTAGATTGTCTGAGGGCCTTACCAGGCCGCACTCAGACCCAGGCCGAAGGGGGAAAAGAACCCCACGTAAAGATTCAGGGCCTGAACGTGTGACAGTTGACTAAAGTCAACTGTCGGACATCCAACAGTCAAAGTCAAAGTGTACCCAGCCCAGGCTGCCGGTCAGACGCACTGTGGCATACTGCGCATCCACACGGGCGTGCAAGGCCCGACCAAACAAGGAAAAGTAAGGGCCCTACAGGCCCTGTGTCGTTTTCAGCCTGAAAGCCTGAAAACAAGGGCCTACAGGCCCTGTGTCGTTTTCAGCCTGAAAGCATGAAAACAAGCGCCTACAGGCCCTGTGTCGTTTCAGCCTGAAAGCCTGAAAACAAGGGCCTACAGGCCCTGTGTCGTTTCAGCCTAAAAGCCTGAAAACTAGGGCCATTTTCAGGCCCTCATAAAGTCGAGATGCCCTGAAACTTAGGCAACAGACCAGGGTCTTAGCACAGGCCACTTTGGGCCTGTTTTCAAGACAACCTTTGTTTGAACTTCAACACCAGGGTCTGGCACGTTTTGGCATTGGCAAGAGCAGCCTCCTGGACGGGCCAGCACTATATAAGGCTGGCCCGCCCTGCAGGCTGCAGGCAGTCAAGAGGTAGTGACGAGGTAGTTAATAGGGACTTCCCAGGCACTTCACGTGCAGGAGGCAGGAGGTAGCCTTCAGGATTCGGCAGCAGCACTCTGGAGGAGTGCTGCAGGAGTAGTAGTAGCGTTAGCAGTAGTCTTCAGCGCTGGGCACTAGTAGGAGCTAGAGTAGCGTTGGAGAGAGAGAGAGAGAGATGGTTGGCGGAGGCCAGGGAGACTTACCTGTGGTGCCATAGCTCCAGCTTCGTCTTCAATGTACCTGCAACAAGGCGCCACCTTCACAGGTTAGTACCGGACTGAGAGAGAGANGAGAGAGAGAGAGAGAGAGAGAGAGAGAGAGAGAGAGAGAGAGAGAGAGAGAGAGAGATTCTTCTTCTTCCTCTTCTAAGTCCACCATCTCTTCCTCACCCTCTCGCTACCTGACTTCTCAGTATCTGCAGACTACGAGAGAGAGAGATTGGTGACTTTGGGACTAACGGCATTTGGATCCAGACTCGACATTGGGATTCAGACATTTTACGAGGGATTATTTGGGACCTGTACCGAAGACTTGGTGTCGACGACATTCCCATCTTCCCCTCTTCTTTGTCTAACCCCCCTCTTCTTCGTCTGTGTATGGTTGGGGGCTGGCGCATTCTTCCTGTGTGGACGCCAGGCCCCTTCACACCATGGAATGATGATGATGTATGTCTGGTCTGCATTGCAACATTGATTGTTCGGATCATTGGTATTTAAGCCTTCCGCTGCGCTATCTTGTACTATGTGAGAGAGGTCGGTTCTTGTTCTGGTCTGTACTGCTACAGTATGTGACAGTTTGGTATCGGAGCGGACCTCTCAATCAGAGGATCCGCCCAATCAAGTAGCCAGCTTGCTTGGTCTTCTGATTGTTGATTGATTAATTGATTGATTGTTTATTAGTAAATCAAGTAGGACTTCGTCAAATCTCTGCAATTTTTTTTTTCTCTTTCTCGCAACAAATATCTGAAAATTTCTGATAGTAGCATTTCGTTTTATCTGAAAATTTCTGATAATAGCCAAAAATTTCTGATGTTATCATTTCGTTTTCTAGGCATATTAGGATAACGATAGAGGTGTCCTTCGGAACATCTGTTAAAATTGGAACGATACAGAGAAGATTAGCATGGCCCCTGTGCAAGGATGACACGCATAAATCGAGAAATGGTCCCAATTGAAAAAAAAAAAAAAGGATAACGATAGAGGTTGGCATAGTCTCGGAAACTGGATTTAGACTTTCTGAAAATCGAACCTCTATTCTATTTCGCACAATTTTTTTTTTTCAAAATCGCAATTTTTTTGAACAGCCGAAATTTTGGCGAAGCCTTGCCTAGATCTTACTCATAGCACTCCTCAGTAAATGCCTCACTGATATCAAATCAACAGATTTTCAAAAAAAAAGAAAAAAAAAAAGGAGATGAGTCTCTTCTTTTATTTTATTTTATTTTTTTAGTCTGTTGATTAGGACCGGGAGGAAAGTACAGTTTGGTTGGTTACCTTGCTGCGTTTTCCCTTCCACCCAACCCTTTGCCTGCATTCCCGGTTTGGTAAGTGCCACGTCGGCAGTGCCACGTCAGCAGCAGTGCCATGTCAGCGGCAGTGCCACGTCAGCGACAGTGCCACGTCAGCAGCAGTGCCACATCAGCAGCAGTGCCACATCAGCAGGGCCATGCACACGAGAAGTCAGCGTGGCAGCCAGCCCATGGAGAAAGGAAGGTTTGGTCCGCATCTGCAGCCCCGCTGCAGTCCAACCGGACAACATTGTGGAAGACCAGGCAGCCACCTCAGCATCATGTGAGGGAGATCAGGTGGCCGCCGTCCAGCCGCGAAGCAACAACAACTCCCGGGTAAAAGGGAAGGCGGAAACCGCATCGCCGGCCGGAAATGGACAGCCAGTACCACAACTCGGAAAACTGAGCTGTGCGGAAGGTGAGGCGATTCCACCTCTCACTCCGTCAGATTCGGCCACCTTGCTAGCTGCCTCCTACACATCTGGGGACGAGGCGCATGTCACAAGTCCTCCGTAATCTTACGAGGATTACACTGTCCACTTGGTCCCACCGTTGGACCAACCACTCCATGTGCAACAATCCACCGCATGCACGGTTTCACCACCATCGACAAACGATTCGGCAGCTTCGCCGCCATCTATCGTCAGGGATTGGACGTCATGGTCAAGACTTGAAGAGCTCAACCCGTTGACGGTCACGGACTTCCAATGGATGCCCGTTCCCCTGACCGGTCGATTGTCGAAACCGCATTGCAACGTGCTCAAGGCACAATTGCGGGATTGCTTGCACACTGCAGTACCAGCTCCGTTGATGGACGTAGGAGTAGAGGTTGTCGACCTTCACGACTGCGTTGCGAAGATCGATCACGAGTTCAAGACACAACGGTACATTGTTGTACATACGCATTCTGATCGAAGAGGCGACCTGCAGCGCTTTGATCGATTGCGGAAGCACTCGCAACTATATGGGCCAAGATTTTCTGGTACGCACTGGCCTCGGGCCACGCGTTCGGAGGAAGACGCAACCTACGCAAGTCACGTTGGCTGACAGTCACACGCACAAGTCAATTGACCGGTGCATTGGCCCCGTCCCCGTGTACTTCGCCCCACATGCAAGCGACGTCGTCTCCTTCCACATTTTGGACACCAACTTCACAGATTTGCAAGCATCTGCACCGCTGATCTACGTCGACTACGAGCGACGAAAACTAGCTAAGGAAGCTTCACAAACCTACCCCTCCCACCCGGACTTTGGTCCCTCCCTCCGACAGGCAGCTTCGCCCTCGGAGGTAAGCTCGGTCTTTCAAGGAGGGAGGGGGGTGTGGCATACTGCACATCCACACGGGCTTGCAAGGTCCGACCAAACAAGGAAAAGTAAGGGCCCTACAGGCCCTATGTCGTTTTCAGCATGAAAGCCTGAAAACAAGGGCCTACAGGCCCTGTGTCGTTTTCAGCCTGAAAGCCTGAAAACAAGGGTCTACAGGCCCTGTGTCGTTTCAGCCTGAAAGCCTGAAAACGAGGGCCTACAGACCCTGTGTCGTTTCAGCCTAAAAGCCTGAAAACGAGGGCCATTTTCAGGCCCTCCTGCCTTGAAACTTAGGCACCAGACCAGGGGTTTAGCACAGGCCATTTTGGGTCTGTTTTCAAGACAACCTTTGTTTGAACTTCAACACCAGGGTCCGGCACGTTTTGGCATTGGCAAGAGCAGCCTCCTGGACGGGCCAGCACTATATAAGACTGGCCCGCCCTGCAGGCTGCAGACAGTCACGAGGTAGTGACGAGGTAGTTCATAGGGACTTCCCAGGCACTTCACGTGCAGGAGGCAGGATATACTCTTCAGGATTCGGCAACACTTTGGAGGAGCACTGCAGGAGTAGTAGTAGCGTTAGCAGTAGTCTTGAGCGCTAGGCACTAGTAGGAGCTAGAGTAGCGTTGGAGAGAGAGAGAGATGGTTGGCGGAGGCCAGGGAGACTTACCTGTGGCGTCATAGCTCCAGCTTCGTCTTCAATGTACATGCAACAAGGCGCCACCTTCACAGGTTAGTAC